GGGTCTTGGTTTAAATTTGCTGGTGGGCTCAATAATGGGGTTTGGGCTAGATTGTGGGTTTTGGTGATTTTTCATCCTCAGCCTTTCAATTTCTTTTCGATTGAGTCCTCTTTCTTGAGTTTCTTTTCCAATTTCTTCTTAAATTTCTTTTTGCATGTAGTCCCTGAAACAAAAATAAAAATATAGATAGCTTAGTTAAATAAAAGGGGAAAATTCATATTTTTATATTTTTGATTTTTTTTTGGATAAAAATTTAAATTATGACAATTGCCCATTTTTTCTTTTCTTTCTGCTAAGAATGAAAAGAAAAAACAAGAATAACTCAAATTTTTCAGTCTCTCTCTTCTTTTTTTTTTTTTTTTTTTTGACAATTGAGTAACTAATCAAGTAAAGTGACTGAACAAGTAAAGTAAAAATGGTTAGGAAACCACAAGTTGAGTAGCAATGGTTGTATAACCAAGCCAATTGAGTAAAACGGTTTTATAACTGAGCAAAGAACAGTTTTATAACTGACACCAGAGCAAGAAATGGTTTTATAACCAAACAAGAAACGATTTTATAACCGAGTAAGTTGAGTTGCAACAGTCAAACGACTAAGCAAGTTGAGTAGCCATGATTGTATAACCAAGCTAGTTGAGCAGAATCGGTTTTATAACCGAACAAGAAACAGTTTTATAACTGAGCAAGCAATGGTTTTATAACCACACAAGAAATGGTTTTATAACCGAGCAAAACATGGTTTTTGAACCAAACGAGAAACGGTTTTTTAACCGAATGAGAAATGGTTTTTGAACCAAGTAAGAAACGATTTTTTAACCGAGTAGAAATGGTTTTTGAACCAAGCAAGAAACAGTTTTTTAACCGAGGGAGAAATGGTTTTTGAACCAAGCAAGAAACGGTTTTTTAACCAAATGAAAAATGGTTTTTGAACCAAGTAAGAAACGATTTTTTTAACCGAGTAGAAATGGTTTTTAAACCAAGTAAGAAACGGTTTTTTAACCGAGTAGAAATGGTTTTTGAACCAAGCAAGAAACGGTTTTTTAACCGAGTAGAAATGGTTTTTGAACCAAGTAAGAAACGGTTTTTTAACCGAGTAGAAATGGTTTTTGAACCAAGTAAGAAACGATTTTTTTAACCAAGTAGAAATGGTTTTTAAACCAAGTAAGAAACGGTTTTTTAACCGAATAGAAATGGTTTTTGAACCAAGCAAGAAACGGTTTTTTAACCGAGTAGAAATGGTTTTTTAACAAAGAAGAGATGTTAAGAAATTTCCCTGAACATATTGGATACCCATATTTGGCAAGAGTCCAGTGTCCTCTGTGTTGTGTATCCATTAATAGGCTTGATGACATGTTTTGCATAAAGTTCAGTGACTTGGGAACATCTCTAGTTTACTGGAGAAAATTCCCGAATCATTACAAGATAGGATAAGCACCATGACCGTTGAATCAAGCTTTTGCTTTTCTCTACAACTCTCATCTCATTTTCAGATTTGTCAAGAGATTTCAGTTAAATAAAGCAATTATATTAACTGAAATAAAGCATCATAACCAATTAGCATCCCAATCTAAACAAGGAAAAGAAGGCCAGAGCATGGATAATATGTATGGATAGAAAGAGATAAACATGATTTTTGAGTTGCACAACTTTTGATGCAACAATTTTAACAAAGCTAGAAGGCATTCAGGCTATAAAGTATTTGCTTCAAGAATTTATTTCTTTTACAACTCCACCAATCCAGTCTTTAGCATATGAGACAATGTCTACTTCCATGTCAAGGTGGACAAATCCAATCTATCTCCTTCCCATGAACTAACCTTCAATGTTTAGAAGACTGATCATAAACCATTGAGCTTTTAGTTATACTAACTAACTTGGACTCACTAGAAGTAGGATTTTTTTTTTTTTTCAATGTTTCTTGACAAAGAAAGTTTCAAACCCTCAAATAAGGACTTTATAAGCTTGTAATGTGGCCATGGGTTAGGCTATTATGGAAGAAAGGAATAAAGGCTCAAAATCCATATAGTTCCCCTCACATTTCTCTTTTCACAACCCCGGTCATTAATGTGGGTTAACAAGAAGAAAATCATCTTGGCTTTTCTGAATTTGGATGATTGCCTTTTTCTAGCGCAAAAAGGGATGACTAAGGACAATGTAAAGTGTTTAGGATGAACAAACATGGCCTTTCATCATTGAATCTATTAGCTCTTGAATTTGATCATGATTTGCTATTCTTAGTCTAATGATTGCCATCATTTCGATTTCTAAAGCTTTAAAACCCTCAAAAAGGACTTTTCCTTGGGTTGTAATGGGGCTTGGTTAAGGTTTTATGAAAAGAACGGAAATTAAAGGCTCAAAATTACCCAACATGCCCCTCAAGTTACATGCCTTAGCTAGGAGCTTTCCATTTCAACCCTTACCATGTGACATTTGCATTGTCATTTCTCTTTTTTTCTTTTCTTTTTTTTATCTTTTTTTTTTTTTTTGTTGAGCTTTTGCTCTCTTTGAACTTTGCCCCCTTTTTAAGATTTCTCTTCATGGCTTTTAGCAATATGATCTTGCCCCCAATTAGGCATGTAACTATATTCCCCGGTTTTGGGATAGGTATGAAAGAAAGGCTTACTTTTTCTTTTAGGCTCAACTTGATTGACAAAAGGATGACTTTTTTGGGTAAAGTGTTTGGAAATTAGGCTCATGAAAGATGGCCTTTGATCCTTGAGCTTTTGGCTTTAGACCTCAAAAATGATGACAATCATTCTACTTAAGTTAGCAATATTTCCTTATTCTCTCTCTCTTTTCTTTTAGATCTTTGCTCACCATTTTCTTCTTATATGAGTCTATCACATTTGATTGCAACTTTGGCCTCCATTTTGCAACATATCAGTTAGTTCAAGGGAAGAATCAAGATCAACATCATCTTCCTCGACATGGATTTGGATCATTTGAAACATATACCAATCCTGAAATGGCATCATTGTATTCAGATTCATCATTAGCAAAGCCTGAAAGCAAAAAGAAACATAGATAAGCAACAGCATGTGAGGAAGCATATATATGCAAGTAAATTTTTTGTTTTTTTTTTTTTTTGAGCATATTAACGGCATCAAATGATGTCTCAATGGTGAATGATGGTTTGGACAATGATTAACAAGAAGAGTTGCATCAAGTTTAATAGATGGTGATATGGCAACATGTGAGACTGAATTGTAAAGATTGGAAAACTAATTAGCATGATAGCAAATATTTCAAAGAATATAAAAGAGCTTGTTATTCCCTTCTTTCATGTAGCCACAAGCTGAGCTATTAGAAAGCTGACTTATTCTACTCATGGATAAATGAAGCAGAGAAAAGCTTGACTGTCCAATTGGCCAAAGTGCCCCCAAGGCAGAAGTAATGGTCATGTCGAATAGGGGTTCATCCTTAGGAGCAACAATACTCAAATTTCCCCATATCCTAGATTTGCCCCCTCATTCATTGAATCTAAATCCACATGTCTTGTGTGTAAGTCCACTTCAACATCATATCTTGGTGAGTTTATAAAAGCATGTTGAGGCCGCCTTTTAGATGGATGATGCATTGCTCCAAAGAGTGAGCAAACAGAGGGAGATTATCATGCCTGATTTTTTTGTTTTCTTCTTTCTTCTTAAAGTAGTCTACCTACAAACAAAAAATAAAAGAAAAATAAACAAAGTCAGAATAGTGTTAGGAATCATCCCATAATTTTGCATGATTTAGTGCTTCAACAATTGCTATATGGATTCACACATTGTCGATTTCCAATCCCTAAGGAGCCTCTGATGAAGCACAATATCTTTGAATGCCTTGAGATTTCCATAGACTCCAAGGGCTATAGAAAAGACACTTACAAGCAATTCAACATGCATTACAAAGGTGGTAATTCATTACAAAGTAAAAGCCTAGTACATCAGACTAAGTACATCAACATGTTAGCATTCAAGTCCCTAGTAGAATCTGACTCCTAGATCTTTCAAAGTATGATTGTTCAGTGAGTAGTTGCATTCCTTTCCTTTATGAATCCCTTGATTGCTGGAGCCATATAAAGTGCGATGTGCTTCAGCTGTTGATCTTCGAGGCTGCTCTTGGTTCTTGTCCTTCTAAACTTGCCCCCTAGACTTGGCAATTGTACACGATGGAGAAAATGCTTGCAATTGAAGATCTCTTGAATCCTTTGTTGGTCAAAGCTTTCTCCATGGATGAATATTTCAATGGTGTCTTGACTGATGAAGAATCACGCTTGACCATGTATGAATCCATATTTCAATTGTTGAAGGCAGAGAATCAAACAATATTATGGGAATGCAAGAAAAGAAATAAACATGGATGCCAAACAATGGATAAAGGATGAAGGAACATGAAGATACTCTAAAGTGATTGATGAGCTAAATTTATATATATATTAATAGGGAATTTTTACTTTGATTTTATTGATATTTGGATGA